GACATGTGCCCAGAGTCTACCACTAATGCCATGGCACTTTAAGAGTAAAAACTGGGAAAATCTAACCCAGAATTTTATTTTATCCTTTCTTATCCCAGTCCCACACCATTCTATTTCTTTTATTGTCTTTACACAATAATGCCTCTCGCCAACGGGCCCGTGATGTTCACAGGAAGATAACACGTATTTTTGTTTGTCTCAGAGTCTGGTCTCTGACCTCTTTCAGGAGTGAGTCTGTGGCTGGTATCTCCTCATTGATGGCTACTCTCTCTGATCTTTTTGCTTGGTGGGAAGGAATGAGCAGTTCACTAAGAACTCTGCTCAGTTTTCTTCAAATAGTTAAGGATAAAGTATGGTCTTGCTGTCAGGATCAAATGCACGAACTGTTCTACTCATGAACTTCATGCTCTTGGTGGCCTTTCTGGTGGCTTCTGTCTATTTCAGACAGATACAAACCACAGAGGAGGAGAGGAAGAAATGCCAGTGACAGAAATAACCTCACCTGGATGGTAAGATCCAAGTGTAGAGAAGCTGAAAATGCCCTGTTGGGACTCACACCAGTGCTCAGGGAGCAGTATCCAAGGATTCTGTAAAGGGTCCCTCTAAGACCCATCTTGTGATTCCTTCCCAGGTTCTCCAGCTTTCAGCTTCACTGAGTGGACAGGTGTGAGAGGGAAAGGGCAATAAGGAGAGGGGCTCTGCCCAATGATTAGTGAGAACAATGGGACCTCTCTTAGTTTCTTTGAATACAAATAGAATTTTTTTCATTACTTTGCTCTTGTGAACACAGCCCCAAGATAGACTCAGGATAGTGCTAAGGTCCCATAGCCCTCTGACCCATATAAACTTCCAAATCAAACAAGATCTGTGGGGGCTAAAGGGTTGGCCACCCTCTTTTGTGAGTATCCACTAGGTGGTGCTATACAGGGAATTTCTAGCATCTTCAAAGGGTCTAGTGTAGGCTCCTGGGACATTGTCCAAATCAGCCCTGCTAACCCTGGGTTTCTATCTTTTTCTTTAATCATGGTTTTATATGTGATCGATGCAAAGCTCTTATGACTTAAAATCCTTTTGATTTTCTTATATTCAGGGATATTGTTAGTATTCAGGCATCCTTACTGGCCTGTCCTTGAGGTTCTGACAGGATACACCCTCAGCTGCAGCCACTAAGAGCACCACCTGTGCACATTCACTATGTTCCCTTTTAAAAGGGCCCTGCCCACCTCCTGTCCTTCTCTCTCTTTCTCTCCCTCTCTCTGTCTGTTCCTCTCTCTCTCTCCCCCTGTCTCTCACTCCCCTTTCCTCTCTCCTCTTTCCTTCTGTTCCTATCTCTGGATACTAGTCTCTCCCCTTCCCTTTCCCCTTTTTATGATCCCTTTCCCTAATAAAAAACCCCTCTACTTGAACCCTGTCCCATGGCATCTTTCTCTTGTGAGCCACTTTTCTTAAATTATAACAGATATAATTTCATCCTTTTACAAAATGTTTCTCACTTATGTGGACAGGCCCCCAGCTGCCATGTGTAAATGTGGATTTTTACCAAAGGACCACTGTCAAGACTCCTGGATGCGAATGGTTTTGTTGAGAGGCTCACAAGCTCAAGTGTATACTGGAATGATGGAGGAGGGAGTATCACAGAGAAGCAAGAATTCTAAGATGGTATCACACACCTGCCAGCTTAGTACTCAGCAAGTGGATAAAAGGAATAGTGATACAAGTTCAGGGGCAGCAAAACATGTGCTCATGGACACACACAGAGAAGCACACATGCACATACATACATACACACACACACACACACACAGAGAGAGAGAGAGAGAGAGAGAGAGAGAGAGAGAAAGAGAGAGAGAGAGAGAGATTCCAGGCCTTTCCTTAGTGATCTAATCTACAGTCAGATCTCAAAGCTCTGTATTTTAACTTCAAATTCCAGTGATTGTGTTGGAAATGGTCCCTGACTGTTCTCTGAGAGAATCGGATAAATTTGCTTTTAGGGCTGAGCCATTGGTATTGCAAAGCTCTTTCTAGGAGAGCCCTGTGAGTCAGCAACCTCCTATATGCCTGTGATCCATGGTTACTAGCACACATAAATAACAACAGGGAATAAGCAAGGGCCACACAGTTGCTCCAGCATGTTTCTATGCAAGAAGAAATTCCAGGAAGGCATTCCATTTTGTTACTGCCTAAGAGTCTTCTGGCTAGACAGGTGCAGACTTTCACAACAAAGGGTCCTTGGTGTAAGATTCAGATCTGTTTCCTTTGTATCCTGTAAGCTGTTTGATTGTAATAGCGTGGAGAAAGAGCTACTTAATGAGGGGGTAGGTAGGCAGATGGTGTCTTCATAGGCTAATTTTGTGGAGGGAATGTGAATTGTCCACGTGTCAGGGGCCTTTAGTAGAAGCTGTGGGGAACTGGGAGTTTAGTTCAAGGCAAAGAAACTAAGAAGACTGCTGGAGATGAAGTGGGAACCATTGTTTGGTTTTGAGTGTATCACTATGTGAGACTTGGGGTAAAGGGGCTATGCTAATTGTCAGCTAACTGGTGTACTGCACACTAAATAACACAACAAGGGGTAGTGTAAAAAGTCTTGAAGGACTTGTAATCAAACCTAGATGCAAACACTAGATTTCTCACTTACTACCTGACTCTGGGGGTGTCTTTTACCCTTTGTAGGTTAATGAGATGATTCAACAGACTGTTCCTATCAAGCACCTGGCACTGTATAGTGTTTGAAGTGAAATCCGTCAGTTTATTTTCAAAGGTACCTTGAGCCAGCTTAGGCCCAGCTACAAATGAACAGAAAAAAACTAGACTCTGCTCATTCTGGTTGGTCTAACCATTCACTCCCCTAAAATCAGCAAAGCTACCCACCCTGCCCCAAGTGGAAGTTTAGAACGGATTGTTACTCATAGCCAAGCTTATCTGAAAGGTCAGCCATTGGTTGGCTACACTTTAAAATAAACAGGGTGTAAAATGTAGAGATGAATCCATTTGTTGTTGTTGAGAAAAAAAGACAAGTATAATGGACAGAAAGATAAGATGGTGGGAAAGCTGTACCCTCCTGATTACTAAACAAAGGGAGGAAGGGCCATGTTGTTACATTTTATAGAAATTGCTCTCTGCCTGCCTATAGCTACAAGCCTGACTTTTCCTGGTCATAATATAAACTGCCTGCTATTCCTGGTCTCCGGTATTCTTAGGATGAAACAAAGGTGCACTTTCTATGAAGCAAGGAACACTGATGCTCATAATAGGAGCTTGGGTATTTTTCTACCCCTCTTTCATCTGTGTTTAGTGTCATTTTAGGTGTCAGAAAAAGAGGGAAGAGTAAGACCTATGTCTTCTCAGACAATAATGGGTGGAGAAACCAGACAGCACAGAGTCAGAATGGAGGAGCGAGGGTTGGTGCTCACAGCTTTCCCCAGGAGTTGGTGTTTTCTGTGTTTTGGAACTCTTGATGCTGTTATTTGACTTCCTATGGACTGCATTGGACCCTTTTCCAACTCAGGATAGCTATTCATCCCTGCAAAATGCTACTGGTTTAGGAGGAATTAGGCTATAAGTCAATTCCCTTTGGTCCAATTTTTCTTTGAATCCATTAACGCAGCAATCTTTTGGGCGTCTTTTGATCTGAGGAGTGGCAGGAAATAGTACCTTGGGCTGTAGAGTTAAGAGATCAAGTTCTTGCCCACAGTCTGTCTATACAAACAGGCAGAGGTTGGTACATTCATAGCGCTTCAATATCCATTCCAACCAAGAACATCTTCTCATTCTTTCACTTATTGTTATGTCTATCTTGGGCAATAAAGCTTGTTTTGTCCTGTATGGTATTCCCTTATCTAGGCCTTTCTCTTTTATGCTTTAGTTTTAAAATTTCATTCTTAGAAATGTACAATAGTGATTCACAAACTATATATTTTAAATTTAAACTATGAGCCCAGCTGTCTGACATACAAGCATGATGAATTTATCTGCAGAATATTGGGAGAAACCATTTTTTCCTTAAAATTAGAATTAACATAAAGACACACATAATATGTATGTCCAACTATTCACTAATTTCTCAAGGCATGATATATGTTACTGGCAAGATAAGCATTAATAATTATATTTAAAATTTTTATATATTGAATTATCTTGATAATTGCAATTGGGGATTCACTTCCTTGTCTCATGGTGGGGCACAGGTTTCTTTGCATTATCTTTGAAAGTGATACATTATGAGTAACTGAGTCTTTGCTAGTGTATTTTTGTATGCTTATTAGATTTCATTATTTCAAATAGTATGCGCACCCCACAGTCTTATGTAGAACTGCTTTCTGTGAGAGCTAGTTAGTTAAAACTAGGTACTTCTCAGCTGTTTCTGAAGTCATTCAACAGAGTGGTGTCTCAACCCAGAGTAGAGGGAAGGTGGTTGTCTACCTCACTGCTCTGTGAGCTTTCACACTTCATTTAAAACACATCACACACTCCACCTGTCCTATGAGCCCAGCTGTCTGACATACAAGCATGATGAATTTATCTGTAGAATATTGGGAGAAACCATTTTTTTCTTAAAATTAGAATTAACATAAAGAGAAATTCTAATACTTCCCACCGGATGACCCCACCCTTCCTTGCTGTATGCGCTGCACACTTTTAGCCAGCACTTCAGTCTTTACTGTGATAATAGCTTCACACTTGCCCTTTTCCTGGATCACGAGTGCCATGGAGCTTAGGCAGGCAGGGAGTTCTCGACTCCTGAGGCTCCTTCTCTCAAAGACTTTCAACAAGCAATTAGAAACGTGCTATACTCAAGTTTCATTCACCTTTCATTGTGGGAGCTCAGAAACTTCTACTTGGTATAGTCATTAAAGACAAATTTCATAGCTTAGAAAACTGTTTTAGTGATCTGAACACACTTTGTTGAGGAGCCGTGGAAAAGGGTTGTAAAGGAAAGAGACATTTGCTCAACTCACTTTCAGGAGAAGAAAAGAGAAGCAAATAGCTTTGTCCATCAATGATTGAGATGAGCCAGATAATTCTTTTATTAAAATAAACAAGATAGTCTTGCCATTTAGTCTATATATAAGAACTGAAAATCTATATTTCCACAAAAATGCTATTCTATATATTCTTTGATCCCTTCCTATCCTTTCTGGAACACATCTATAACAAACATTTTTATCTTTGCACTGTGAACTTTTTTATTGTCTGATTGAAAACCATGAACATCTTTCAAATACTTTAAAAGTATAAAAATATATATGTTGAATTTTGAAGGATATCCATAATATTAAAGTATTCCAAAAACAGCTAATACATGGGATATTAACAGATTTGTTTATTTACTAATGCATTAAATATTAAGATGTGGCAATTCTATGAGATGTCAAAGCATTGACAAATATAAACAAGTATAAATGTGATATTTGATAACATAATATGATTTAATATCCCTAACTCCTACAACGGCTAATTAACTACATTAATAAAAAAAGAAAATGTTGGACATCCCATAACATCCTATGGGAATAAAGTTATAACGTTTTTTCCCATACAATTTCATTTATCCATGAATATTACTCAGGCGAGGAACCTTCTAGAATGAGATTCCCAGAACCTTCCATACTGTTTCCAGCAGGTCTAGCCCCTAGCTTCCTCAGTACTGAACAAAGGAACTTTAGGGGATGTAATAGTTTTGTACTTTCCAGAAGGTGTCAGGCTTGTGTTACTAAAGAACCAAATTCTCTTAATTAAATCAAACTTAAGCATCTTGCCTCCTTTCGAGAAGTCTGAGTCACTGAAATTAGGTGGAGATGCCTCCAAGCAGAAACAAGGGGTTCAAGGAAACAGATCTACCAGAAGTTAAGAAGGAGCTGTTCAAATGAAGAGATGTTATAGGCAGGAGCTGCCACAAGAAATTAGCTTGTACTCTGGTCTCCTCTGTCTCAAACAGGATTTATGTCATTTGTGCAGGTCAGACACCATGAAATTTCTGAAAATGCATCACGGAAGACATGTGTGGGAAGGCAGGGGAGAATTTATCTTCTCACAGGAAGGGCAGAATTATGGATCTTGTTTAACTATGGACATTAAAAATACAGGTTGTAAGAAAAGGCTTTTGATACAAAGCAGGGATTTGACTGTCATTCTTTTTATCTGAGTGGGATCCTTAATTCTCTAAGCTTCCCTGGAAATCAAAGCCTATGCATTGTAGATGTTTCCTGGAGATGTTACTGTTCTTATATATGGACTGCATGAGATGCTAACGTGTCTGAGACACACACTTAGGTTTTCATTGGATTTCCTTTTATCAAAGATTCTTCAAACATAGATTGATTCTTTCTATAGTGAGTTACTTCTCTTTCTTGCTTTTCAGATTATAACTTTGTGTGGATCTTGACTTGAAAGTGATGTTTGTAATTAGTTTCACTGTTGTTCCTAATGGTCCTCCTCCACACACACACAGGATGAATAACAAATGTAGCCATTAACAAAAGCTTCCCTTTGCTAATGGAATACATCAGAAAGTGATGTGTCAAGTCCAAGGAGACTGATTAACTGCTGCTTGAATCTTCCATCCTGTTCCTCTTCTCTGCCTTAAAAATAAAACATCTCAGATCAGAACTGCTCTTTACTGATAGAGTTTTGAAGTGGCTTCTATTTCATGTATTTCTCCTCTTGACTAAAACAATATACCCAGAAAACAATATTTGTTAAAATATAAAACTAAAACTTAAGAAAAGATGTGGGGATGGAGAGATGGCTTAGATGCTAAGAGCACTGGCTGCTCTTTCAAAGGACTATGCTTGTTCAAATCCAGTTCCCACATGGTGGCTCACAGCTGTCTACAACTCCAGTCCCAAGAGATCCTCTGACTTCCATGGACACGACACATGTGGTGCACAGACAGGCATTGGGGCAAAACACCTATACACATAAAAAACGAAGGAAGGAAGGAAGGAAGGAAGGAAGGAAGGAAGGAAGGAAAGATGTGACCATCAGAAGATACGACATATCCAAAGAGATAAAAGTAACTTTCTTGTGCTGGCCCAGTGTTGATGTTTTAAGAAACAATGGAAGGTGACTGGGTGGACATGAGGAGGACTGTAGGGAAGGTGTGTTCAGTTTTTGCCCTAGGTGTACAGATGATTGTTCATGTTGTGGTTGTTGTAATTTAAGAAAAGCAGTGAACGAGAGAAAGATGCCATGCAAGCATAGGGGTTTTTATTAGGGAAAGGGATCATAAAAAGGAGAAAGGGGAGGGGGAGACCAGCCTCTGGAGACAAGAGCAGCATGAGAGAGGAAAGAGGGGCACAGAGAGAGGGGGGAGGGAGGGAGGAGGGAAGGGAGGAAGGGAGGGAGGAAGGGGGAGGGAGGAAGGGAGGGAGGAAGGGGGAGGGAGAAAGACAAACAGACTGGCAGAGAGAAGAAGAGAAAGAGAGAGAGGAGGAGGATGATAGGAGGTGGACAGGGCAGTTTTAAAAGGGACCATAGTGAATATGCACAGGTGGTGTTCTTAGTGGCTGCAGCTGAGGGTGTATCCTATCAGAACAGACAGGCCAGTACAGATGCCTGAATACTAAAAGTGGTAACTTACATATGCCATTAATATATTTGTGTATTTTCTATGTGCTCAGGATACTTCACGGTAAGATATTTTAAACATGTGATAACCATTGCTATTGCTTCATTAAGACACACAAAAGTTTGATGACCATTTGTTGTGTAGCAGAAAAACTATTTTATCCTCAGTATTACTGGCTAGAAAGCAAGCACATTTCAATTTAGCACATTTTTAAAATAAACGTCTTACCTGGGGAAAATGACACTACCTATGTGATTATATAATGCTATAATTATATAGTATAATAATAATTACACATTACATAATTGAGTAGTCATATAAATAATTAACCACAGCTATAATAAATACTATAAAGTATAAGGTTATGGGTATGTTTTTCTGTCAGGCTATTATCAGTTCACAGAGGTGTGGTTATATATTATTTATGATCTAATAAAGCTTGCCTAAAGATCAGACTGAAAAGCTAGTCACAGCCATAGAGGCCGGGCAGTGGTGATACCTTTTATCCCAGCACTCAGGAGACAGAGGCAGACGGATCTCTCTATGAGTTCAAGGCTACCCAGGGCTACAAAAGAGCATGGATCAGTCTAAAAGAGAAACAGTTCACACCTTTAATCCCAGCACTAGAGGGAATATAAGGAGCTCAGTGCAGTCTCAGAGAGAGCTGAGGTTTTTGATGGAGAGCATTGCAGTCTCAGAGAATCTGAGCAGCAGTGCAGTGAGGAGCAGTCTGAGGTTCGGTGGAACGCCCACTTCAGTCTTAGCATTGGTAGAGGTGAGAACTCTCTAGTGGCTGGCCGCTTTGCTTCTCTGGTCTTCAGCTTGAACCCCAATATCTGTCTCTGGGATTTTATTATTTGTGTTACACAGAGGGACAACAGTCTGCCATATTACAATCCCAGTCTTGAAGAGAAAAGGGCACAATAACCAACTTATTAACACAATTATTTTTAAGTAAATTAATAAATGAACAATTCCAGAGGCAATGCCAGTTTTGTCACAATATGACTGTTAAAAGAAATCTTGATTCTCCCCTCCCCTGACTGCTGCGTCCACTGTGCCAGTTTGGGTAGAATTTTTGACACTTTGGAGGGCCTTAATTTGATCTTCAAATCTCTTATAGCTCTCTTTTCTCACAAACCTTTTTAGTCAAAGCTTCAGGCTTTGCCTACAGCAAGGACATATTTTTGTCCACAATCAACGGGAGTCTGACCTTTAGAATTCTTTCTCAATCTGAACTCAGTGACCTCTTAACTTTTGGAGCAGATCTGCAAGGCTGTGTAATTCTATGACTCAGATAGCTGGGCCTTGAGGGTTCTGGTGGTCAAAAGAAATGAAAGAACACAGAGGGAAATGGATTGTGTTCCCACCTCTGAAAGTCAGCCAAGTACACATTCCTCAAGCCCATTCCCCACCCAACTAGGATTTTAAAAAGAAAGACAACTGCAGTTAGACCAAAGATGATAAATAAATTTGGTAGAGTCCACAGCAGCCCATATTAAAGATGGTATTTCTAATTTCCTTTCAGCTAGCTATGCTCATGTGACTAAACACTGACCAGTGAGGGGAGAGGAATTACACATGAAATACACAGACCATAATAAGAAAGCAACGTGGTCCCCTTCACCCCATCTCATTCTAACTACACATGAAACACACAGACCATAATAAGAAAGCAGTATGGTCCCCCACACTACATCTCCTTTCTAACATCTGCCCATTGAAATGCAGGTATTATGGCAGAATAAGACAATACTCAATGGCTGGCAATATAACAAAAGAAGTCTGGGACCTTAACATCTTGGCAAAGACTAGCTGCCTTACCAGTACTGCTTTTGAGAAAGGAAAAAAATTCTATGATTAAGTCCTAGTTATTTGCAGTCTTTGAGACACAAAGTCAAACAATGTTTCAACTGGCACAGAGGCCATCTGACTTAGTGGTACTCACCATAGACAGGAGGTATGATTGTTTTCCAGGAAGCATTTGGTAATGTGTGGAGATGTTTCTGGTTGTCATATATGAAGCGAATGTGGAATATGCCACAACTATCTACCTAGGAACACTGTCAAACAACCAAAAGCCAAGGTAGCCTCCTTGCAAGAAAAGAATTGTGCTGACCCAAATACCAACATCTCTGAGGTTGGTAAACCACTGAAGCAACCCTATGATCTAGTGAGATTATCAGGTTATGGTGCCACACAGGTGATTGTGGTTAAGGCCATTGCCCAAGCCAGGCCATTGTTGATGTTTTAAATATACTATTTTACCAGTTGCCAGAAGAGATCTACTGTATGTTTGATATTTAAGTCACTCTTCATGCTTATAGAATTTACAATGCTTCATCACCAGATTAAATGCTGAACAGCTATTTAATCTGTCTAGGCTGGTTTCCAGTCTGTCTAGTTGAAGAACTCAAGCACGTATGACAAGGGAAGATAAGCAGTGTAATGGAGCAAAGGGCAGTGTCCACAGGAATGCAGCTGCTACGTCAGAGGGAGGAGATGGTAGAGTTCTCCAAGGGGAAGAATGTTGACCAGAGAGCCAGGTTTTTAGGTCAGGGACTTCAGCTTTGACTGCAATGTTTTGAACATCAAAACCTTCACCTGTGCTATACAAATTACTAAGCACAGGCCCTAGGCACAAGCTACTCACCTTCATCACTTTGTTCTCTTGTCATGGGTTGTCAACCTGCTTTGCCTGTGCAAGGCATCTCCTTCTAGTGGGACCTCAATCACACCTTTTATTATACATATTCTCTATCTTGCTTTTTGAGATCCTTTCTCTGACTACCTGGCCTATGTAAATAAGACATGGTGTCCTGTACCCTCTGGCTTTCATTTGGGTTCAGCTATTGGGCCAGTGATTGGAGAAACAGAATGAGTCAGGAATATTTCTCACAAGTGACTTCTCTATTGCTTGGGAGACAATTGGCTGTGTTCTACTGAAAGGCATGCCTTCTATCAAGAGGGCTTTCTGCTTGGCAACCACTCCTCTTTCCAGGAATCGCTCATCGAACTGCCCCTTCTGAATTCAGGATGGCAAGAATTCCTATTCTTGTTTGTCTTAGTGCTCCACGGTTGGCTTCCTTGATCCAGACCAGACCATTGTATGTGTTCTCAGTGTTGCACTATCTTAAAATTCTCCAGCTGAGTGTGTGCCATCTGTTTAATGCTGTGAATGTGATGGATCCCAAAGCCTATCCACAACTAGAAAAGTGAGGAGACATCCTAGTATTTGGTCAAGCCAGCTGTATGAGTTGCCTCATAGACTGGGTGTCTGATGTAAAACAGAACTATTTGGAGCCCTTCCCTGAGGTTTTGAGGAAGATAGTAGACAATCACTTCCTTCTAGTCACTAACTGGAGTGTATAAGCTTGTTCTGTCAGTGCTGGCTGCCTTCCCATGGAGAGAAAGCCCAGGTTTAATGGGATAGGACAGAAGATGAGACTGGTCTAGACTGAAGTAGAGATAGAGACCTGAGAACATCATTTGAATCCCTGGTCCAGGCACTCACAGACTTTGTAGTTGAGTGGATCAATAAGGTTTGCTCAGTTTTGTTTCCTTCTGGATAGTCAGGATAAACTTAATCTTAGGAAGTGAGTGTAATGAGAGGATGTGAGGTATCTTGAAGGTGGTGATGGTGGTTGTGTGTGTGTTACTTCCCTTGGGTGGTAGCAGAGCTGAGAAGGCTTGGAAAAGACAAATTGTGTGTTCATTTGCAGTTCTAGACCACAGTTATGTTAATCTCCATTTCTGTCCGTCCTTGGCAAGGCAGAATTATCATGATGGAGGCATAATGGAAGAAATCTGTGCACCACAAGAAAGTGACAAGTTGGAAGGAGGAAAAGAAGAGGAAAGGGAGAGGGTGGGCAGAGGGAGAGGGAGAGAACTTGGGAGGCAGAGGCAGGTGGATCTTTGTGAGTTTGAAGCCATCCTGTTCTACAAATCAAGTTCCAGGACAGCAGGATTGTTATATGGAGAAACCCTGTCTTGAGAAACCAAAGAGAGGGAGCGAGAGAGGGAGGGAGGGAGAGAAAGAGAGAGAGAGAGAGAGAGAGAGAGAGAGAGAGAGAGAGAGAGAGAGAGAGAGAACATTTTTCAAAAGCCTGCCCCTAGTGACCTATTTTCTCCAAAGAGGCCTACTGCCTAATAACCTATGTGGTTATGAACTCATCAATATGCTAATGCTCTAACAAAGTCAACACACTCATGATCTGGTCACCTCTCAATAGTACCAGCAGCTGGGACCAAATCTCCAACACTTGAATATTTAAGGGCATGTTTCATTGCCAAACCTGTTACAACAGCAATCATTTCTTATAACACAACTGAGTGTCCTGACCAGATATGGCAGGAAGCTGCTGGTGGCTTCAGATAGAATCTGAAATGGTTCTTCACAGGACTGTGAAGATTACACTGGATGCCATACGCTTGCACTCTGGAACTGTCCTGAATGTGCTACAAGGACATGAACACACCCATGGACACACTTCCACTTGTTGAACATATGTTCAACAAGGACACACATACTAGGAAAGCTTCTAGCCTCCCCTTCAACTTCAGGGAGCCACACTAGTAGAGTAACACAGAAAGGTCTAGATGATTTATAGTTGCCCACAGAAAAATAGTAGAAAGTCTGACACTTCACAAAATCTCCAAAGAGCAACTGAGATGGCAGCTCCATCAGGACAAGTAGGCATCATCTGGGTTCTATTCTTGTGCCATTCTCTTCCCTTTAGAAAAGCTTCCTTTTGAACACTCCTCCATTGCTGGTGGGAGTGCAAACTTGTAAGACCACTTTGGAAGTCAGTATGGCGGTTGCTCAGGAAAATGGGGATCAGTCTACTTCAAGATCCAGCAATTCCTCTCTTGGGCATATACCCAAATAATTCATACAACAAGGACATATGTTCAGCTATGTTCATAGCAGCATTGTTTGTAATAGCCAGAACCTGGAAGCAACCTAGATGCCCCTCAACTGAAGAATGGATAGAGAAAATGTGGTACATTTACACAATGGAGTACTACTCAGTGGAAAAAAGCAATGGAATCTTGAAATTCGCAGGCAAATGGATAGAACTAGAAAAAAAAATCCCGAGTGAAGTAACCCAGTCACAAAAAGACAAACATGGTATGTACTCACTCATATATGAATTTTAGACATAGAGCAAAGGATTACCAGCCTACAATCCTCATCACCAAGGGAACTAGAAAACAAGATGGACTCTAAGAGAAAAATGCATGGACCCCCAGAGAATGGGAAGGGGCAGGATCTCCTGAGCTAATTGTGAGCATGAGGAGCCCTTATCAGATAGCTGATGGAAGCAGAGGCAGACACCCACAGCTATACACTGAATTGAACTCTGGAACCCAGTTGCAGAGAGGGAGGAATGAAGATCAAAGGGGTTGGGACTAGGCTGGTGAAATCTACAGAAACAGCTAACCTGAACAAGGGGGAGCACATGGACCCCAGACTGCTATCTGGGAGGCCACCACAGGACTGAATCAGACCCCTGTACGTAGATGTCAATGAGGAGGCCTCGGCACTCTATGAGCCCCCTGGTAGTGGATCAGTATTTTTCTCTGGTGTAAGAAGGGACTTTGAGAGCCCATCCCACATGAAGGGATGCTCTCGGCCCCTGGCACATGGGGGGTGGGGCAGGTCCGGCCCAGGATGATGTGGTAGAATTAGGGGAGAATGAAAGGGATTGACATGTAAAACAAGCTTGTTCCTAATTTGAACTAATAAAAACAATAAATAAATAAAAGGAAAAGCTTCCTTTCTATAGTTTTGTTTCAAGCTAGTGTTGTCATTAGTCCTGGAACATTCTCTTGCTGTTCCTAGATGCACCACTCTCCTCTGTGATAAGCACACAAATTTGGTTCAGCGGTAACCTTCCCAGGATCCACAGCGTCCTGGGGAAAAGGCAGACAGGTAGTGAGACATGTCAACTCATTTTGTCCATGTTTGCACAGAAATCTGCAATGTTAGTTTTAGGGAGGTTGGTTCACAAAAAAATGCTGTATTAGTACTTTTGTTTTCTAAACATGACAGCTCAGTTACTTTGAAGGCCATTACTGAAGTGTGTAACCACTTCTATTCTTGATGTGGCTGACTACAAGATCTTAAACTAAGGCCATGTTTTCTAATTAGTTCTGCAACTTGTCAATTCAATCATTACAATAAAAGGAAATGGTAGCTCAAGTGCTGCTCCAGGTCCCTAAGGCTTTGAATGTCCATCTTGCTCCATGAATTGTCTAATTACCTGCATTAATATTTATTTTGTTTATGTAAGTCAGTATGTTTATTAGGCTTTTGTAAACAGCTCTTTCCTTAGCAAGTATTATTAGTAATGCTTTTGCAATGGAGATATTAGGTCAGATAGAAAGACTGGGGCCATGCACAGTAGGATACAGATTATTCAGTAAACATGCCAGGAGAGGGCCTTCTGCTCACTCCAGAGAACCCTGGGAGATAAGGAAGTTGTAGGAAAACAGCATGACACAGCATTACAAAGGAATGATGAAGGGACATCACACACACACACACACACACACACACACAC